GTTTTACACGGTTTTTCTTTATCATACCTTCCTACAAACGAATTCCAGATAGTGTTAAAATTAATTTTCTTAAAAATAATCAGTATTTATGAAAAAGCCCTTGTAAATTGAACAGATACCAGTTAAATATGTCAGGCTGACATATTTTTAAAACTTCAAGGGTGCGTTCGAAATCACCCTGGGCGTCACACCGAGTGCACACCAGCCATGTAATTCATAGCTGGTGTGCACTCGGTGTAACGCCCCAGGGTGATTTCGAACGCACTCCAAACGTTATTTTCTAAAGTCAAAATGCATTTCCCAAATGGAGAAGCACAGGACATCCTTGAGCTGCATGAATGTAACGGAAATACAGCAATCGCAGCACATATTTATTCACGGCGTTATCCCCAAAGACCTCACCCGGACTCTAAATCCATCAGGAGGTTGAATAATCGTTTAAGGGTTACAGGTAGTATTTATACCCCCTTTTTCACTCGAAGATGTAGGGCCACGTGCGAGGAAAATACAACCAACGTTCTGGCACTATAATTTCCTAACGCACTTTTTTCATTATTTGACGTTCATCAATGATGACAATCAACTGTCAGAAAAACGATGTCATTATTTACGAGGGCTTTTTCATAAATATTGATTATTTTTGATAAAATTAAATTTAACACTCTCTGGAATTCGTTTGTAGGAAGGTATAATAAAGAAAAACTGTGTAAAACATCCTTGAAAATCGATTGAACATATCTTAAATATACCGTTCAATTTGAAAATTTCAAGAAAAATTAGAAAAATTCGATTGTTTTCAAATATCGACCCATAGAGTCAGTCTAACTAACTGAAGTTGGAATTTTTTACAACAAAATTAAAGAATATACTCTTGTCTTTCCAACGAACCTAAGATCGAACCAATTCGTTGAGTCGTTTTGAAGTTATTCGTGTTCTTAAGTTGCAATATTTGACAGCTCATAACTATCTTATCCGATAAGTTATGGTAAAAAGTCATGAATCAAAATTGCGTGAAATTTCATCAAAAATCTATTGCTAGTATTTTCAAGATACGTTTCCATTTGAAAATTTCAAAAATAAAACCATTTTTGTACTTTGACAGTTGAGTTACGCCCCCTTACGGTCATTTTAGAAAGCTGAAAATATTTCCAGCATTTTCTCTTGGCCATATTTATGGGATAATTTTTTTCCGACAAGACTACTATGAATAGTTTTTGAGATATGGCCCAGTGCCATTCTTAATGAATCACCCTGTACAGTAGGAAGTCATATATGTATTGTGATGGGACCGTTAAAATCTGAAAATCACGATAAAACTGTTTGGGGTCTTCTCGGTATCAGACATGAACCAGAACTCTCACTGCCCTCCGCTGCAAACCACTGTGGTGACAAGACACCAACGACCCTACTCCCATACTCATCATTTTCCCATTCCAAGCCTGGAATGTTAAAATCACCACAAATTACAACATCATTACGTACATTATTTTCCATTACATTTTCGACTATTTCACAGAAAGATTCATGAAGCTCTAAGTTAGATTTAGGAGGTGAGTATACAACACAAATTAGGATCTTACTTGCTCTTTTCCCAAAAAGCACAAACAAATATTCAATTGACCTATTATCACAAATAACTCTAGTCGCAGGTACTGAATACTTGAATACTAAGCTGCTAAGAGTACTCCTCCACCTCTTGATTTTGCACTTGTTTCATTGGTTCGGTCACATCGAAAAACAGTAAAACCTTCAGATGCTATTTCCGCATCCAGAATATCATCATTGAGCCAAGTTTCTGAAAAAATAACAATGTCAAATTCAAATTTTTTCTTGAGAGGTCAAAATATCATGGAGTTTAGTTCTGATTCCTCGCACATTTTGGTAGTATGAAGAAACTGACTGATCCGTTGACTTAAAAACTTTCTGTTTCCTGTAGGACGTCGATGAAAATTTATTGAATTAGGAGTGGACTTATGATGGTATCCCTTCCTAAATCCATTACTGTTATGGTAGTGCATGGATTGAGCTCTTCCAAAATAGTAATTTCTCCCGAAATACCTTCGACCACCATTATTAAAATTAGTGTTATTGCAGTTGTTGTAGTACTGGCCCATTCCAACAGTAGTACTTCTAATGCCAAAGCCTGGTGCCCCAGTTTCAAAGTCGAATTTTCTAGAAATTATGTTTCCTGGCCAAAATGATACCCAGTTTGAAGGAGTTTGTGTCAGTTTTTTCACCACAATCTGATCCTCCGTATCTAATGCAATTTTTGATCTTATATATCTCAGAACAGATGCCTCATGAGATGATCTTGCAACTCTGCAAATGTAGTCTTGCTGGATAAAATCCTCAACTGCATCTTTACTAGTCCCCAGTTATTAATTTGGGTTTGGTAAATAATTTGGCCTCATTGCTATATAGTGCCCCCATTGCACTATTTACCGCAGTTTCAAGATTTTCTGCAGTTCACTGGTTTTATTGCTTGGATTTTCATGCTCTGCTTCATTAACACAAACAGCAGCCTCTTTGGCGTTATTTGACACAGAGTATCCAGAGTTTTCAAATGTTTGTTGAAGTTTTTTAAATTTCGAATAAAAGGACCCCGCACCATTCTTATGGAAATTGGGTCCCAGCTAAATTACCTGCAATTTTGGCATATGATTGAGCATTGAGCTTCTGACCATTGCGCAAAAGTGCTACCATCGCTAGTTTTCAAGATATTGGGTCTTTTTTTTTTTCTTTTTTTTTGGGTCGCGCTCTGAAGCGGTGAACGTCAAAAGGTTTTGACGTGTTCTAATACTCGAGTCTGTTTGATCAGTTTTTCAAGTGAAAACTTCTTTAGGCGTGTTTCAATGAGAGGGTTACACGTCAAAACCTTTTGACGTTTACCGTTTCCGAGCGAGGCTCAAAAAACCAAATAAAAGGCATAATAACTTGAAAACTAGCGATGGTAGCACATTTGCGCAATGATAGGTTTTGATCAGAAGCTCAAAAACTATCATATGCCAGACTGGCAGAAAATTTAGTTGGGATCCAATTCCCATAAGATTAGTGCGGGGTCCTTTAAATTTGGATAGATAATTTAAATTATAAGAAAGGATCTTGGAAGAATTTCTCTATACTGTAGTAGGCTTTTAATACTAAAAGCTTGAGATGTATCCCTAATTTTTCACCTAATACTATCTGTCTCAGATGCAGTGACAAATAATAATAATATAATATTTATTTATTCACTTATGAAAATTTATTTTTTTCACGTATCTCAAATGGTTAAAAATCTTTTTACTTTGATAGATTATTGAGTTTTTTGTTTGGAGGAAGGGATGGTAAGGTTTACATAGTGTGTTTGTCAGGTGGTATATATACCTACAGATGAAAATTCGAGTATGCTTCACCTAAATTTCTTATGAACAAGACATGAAGTCTCTATAGGTCGATTCACACATATCAGTGACGTGACAGTACCATGACCAGCACGTGATTTCACCGGCGAAGTCAAAGTTATTCTCTTAGGAATTTGATGGTACCCTCGTCTAAAAAAGGTGTAGCAAGTAGTGCATTGAGGCTATTTGTTTGAACTTCAATATTATTCAAGTCTCTGTGCAAACAAACTGATATTACTATCTAAACTTTGTGCATAAAAAGGAGAGGCACTGTATTCAATGGTAATCGGAACCGATTTCAAGACTATTTTTCTACCAAGAACTGTACTACATAGTTTTAACATCCGAAGCAAGCAATTTGCTCAGCGACCGAAATGAGTGTGTCTATCTAAAATTGACACATGTATTTGAAATTAGGCTAATACTACAATTATTTCTTTTAATAATCGTGATACAAATATATCGGTTTGTGCCAAACCAAAGTTTGAGACCAAAACAGATTGGTTTTCCGTAAATGTACTAAAAGCCATGGCGCCTGTTACACGAATTCATCAATAATGTGATTGTGATGCTCTTCGGGAGATGCATTTTTCAAAAAAATTTCTATCCATTTGCCTTGCAAAATTACAATCCAATCACCCCAATATTTTCTTTGAAAAAAAAAATATAACGGGACTCTCGATTCGTTTTAAATAAAATTTAAAGCTAAATATTTTAACAAAAAATTCAGCTTTGTTATGAAAATCATCAGCAAAAGGGTTAAGCAATATGGTAGATACATGCTTCTAAATCTCCAAAATATAATATCCAATATTGCCTTCAAGTCTTATCTACTACATATTCTTGCTTATTATCATATTTAGAAAAACACATTATATTTTTATACTCTAAATAATAAGGTGTAGGTAATGTTAGGTGATAAATTGCAATGGAGGGGCGACCTCTCCCAAAAAAATACCTAATTGTAGCCTGAAATGTCTTGTGTACAATTTTAAACCCTGATCATGAGATTTCAGAGCTTATTTGTGAGATTTCTTGCAAAGTGGTTGCCCCCTCAATTGTACTACTAAAAAGTAATATGTTCCATAATGTTTGACATAGTTCCTTAGGGTGCAATAATACTAATTTAGGATTTAGCCCAAAATAGTTATTTATTTTTATATAGTAACTCGCAACTTTAGCATTAAGCTGCAACTATCAGTATTTTGTTAATTGGTTTTCAGTTTTAGCTAACCTCTTTGTCCTAAGTAACAAGACTCAAGCTTCAAAATTTCAACTACCCTTCTTATTGTTTAATTATTTCAGGGTAGTTTTTAAATAAAAAAAAAATTGTAACTAAATTTTATTAATCTATTATTGTTCCACGCAATTTTTGTAGGTTATCCAGTTTTAAATAAAATTATTTGAAAATATTTTTGTTTTTTTTTTCTTCTCTATTTGTGTTTGAGTCTTGTTGCATGGTTCTGGCCCCTATTTCCTTTCCATTATTGCATGCTGTGTGTGTTAAATGTTAGTAGTTATCAAAATTAATGAGTTAATTCTTTGGCAGTCCGTAGAAGGTGTTGATGAGCAACATTAGCATTTAAATCCTACAGGTTCATTTATTAATTATTACAGGTGACTACCAACACCAGCCGCCCTTGTCGCCAGCATGTCGAGTCAGTGCCCTTAATATTGTCAGTGACTTGATACGGAAAGTTGGGGTAAGTGTTTTTTTTATGTCAGTTACACAATGGCATGGATTCATTATGTTGAAATGTGTGGTATAATTTAATTTTTTTTTTGGCTTTTTATTTCTGGGTTTTCTGCATACATAGTATGTTTTTTCCTTTAATACAGTAACACCTCTGTTAATTGGTTTTCTACTAAATTGAGAAATTATTTAAAAACCTGGTTGTACTGTATCCAGAAGAAAGATTATATTATTATGGTTATATTGACTTGTGGGTTTATTTTGAAGCATGCCAGTTTTTTTTATTATTGCATTTTAGCTTTCAAGATATCTGTGTTCTGAGTGTGGACAAGTTAAATGTACAGTTTGCAGTAATTCGGACAGCAGTTTGCTTAATGGTAGTAGTAGGTAGTAGTGAGGTGCGTAGACTTATTTATTTGTATTCTTAGTGTAAATTTTCAACGGCCAAGTCAGCACATGTGCATTTTATTTTTTATTGCTGAGAGTCTGAGAGCCGTAAAAATGTTGAAGTTAAGTTAAAATTATTCAAATTACTCCATGAAGTGACTCAATGTTACAATTGTTTGAAGTGACAACCATCTATCGAATACTTTGGGGCTGAAGGAAGTCCAAATTAAATTGTGAAATAAAATGTGCAGGTGCCTGCTTCAGGAAATATAGGCGAAGGTTGTTCTCTCATAAAAAGGGTGTAATATGATTCAAAATAATATAATATTCGATAAAGATGTTCACTACCTACAAATTCTCTAGAGGCGAATTTGATTATTTAACGTTTGTTTCTTCAGCTGGTGCTACCAATTGAATTTTTCTTAGAATCCATTGCCTCTCCAAAAACGACACGCTTCAGCTGTTATATTTACGTCGAATAAAACATAATTCAAATCAGAAATAAATAAATGAAAGTTATACACTCTGTATACAATGTGTCCAAGATAAGGAGGGCCAGTATGGGGATCTCAGAAACGGTAAGAAATACGACGTCGCTTGAATTAAAAAAAAGTTGCGCAATTTTGTGCTCATTAACATGGCGCTTTGATTTTTTTTTAAATTTCGAGTGCTACCGGAGATATTCGGAAAAAACGAAATTTTGCAAAATCGATTTTATTTTTTTGTGAGCTTATTTGAGGAGTTATTTCAAAATCAATGTCATTTCATCGTTACAACTTTTTCTACTCTACAAGATGACATTTTCAATTTAAAATCTGACGTTTCGTCTTTGGGACACCATCATCAAGTTCATTTTTTTAAATACGGCCCTTGATTTTCTATTCCAGACTTTAAGAACTTCTGATGTCCCAAAACCTATGGCGTATCGCATTTATTCAAAAAAATTTTTTTAAACTTTTTAGTAATTTCCTACCAAAAAAAATCTATATCTAAAAACCTAAATTAATTTTAATTTTTTCACATTTTATTTTACAAGCAGAAAATATGGCAGCGCTAGAACCTTATAAAACCCAAATATGTGGGATTGATCCCAGAATTTAAGGGAGGAACACAACTTCTTTCCCGGATTTTTATCAATCTGTGAAAAAGTAGTCACTAAATTCTATAACACAGCAGATACTGCAGACTTCCGAAATGAATATCTTATGTCCAGTATCTTATCAAAAATTAAAGGCGAAGCCGCAATTAATATCTCATGTTCTTCAATTTGCACATTTGACGATCTTACACTTCTTGCAACCTATGCAAATAAGAGAGATCTCTATACTCTAAATATCGAGATGACAGAACTAAAGCAAGGTAATGAATCAGTATTCGATTTTTTCAATAGGGTACAACAAATTTTGAATTTGCAACTTTCTTATGGAATCACCCATTCAAGCAATCCAGAAAGAAGTATCTTGTGTCAATATTGTTGAAATTTAGCGCTAAGAGTCCTGTTAGGCAGACGTAAAGAGCCTATTGAATCCTTGATGAGAACTAAGAATCATCAAGATCCAAATAGCGCATTGAACATGCTTACTAACGACTTTCAAATTATAGTAGACTGCTACAAAAACTCCCACAAATTCACCTGTCCCGATCCCAACTTCAATATACTCCAGGTCCTTCAGATGCTAAAAAACTTTCACAATTTCAAAGAAACAGTCCGAAAACTTTTCTAAATAAAACCAATCCCAATCTTTCACAACCAATGTCCGAAGTTTCTAGCTTTGTGAACAGACCAATATATAGGTACCAAACCGGTATATCAAGAATATTAAATTACACCACAAGATCTGAAGTTTCCTACAAATCAAATCCCAAATATAGTGCAGAAGAACTAACTAACATAACTGAAACTGATTCTCCAGAAATCGATGATCTGCCTTACTCAGATGAATATTTAGACGAAAATGTTATGTCTTTCCCTAGTGTCGAATATCCTGAAGATCTTCAACATGAAGGTCAAAAATTTCACTTTCAAAATTATTTCGAATTAAAGCTGAGCCCTTCAAGTTTTATCTTTTTGACTTCCACAGACATTTTGATTGCCTTTCAGTTATGGATAACTTATTGCTCTTACAAGCCAACATAGACTTAAAAAAACTAACAACCCTTAATGCCCAAATTCCATTAAATTTTCAAAGAAACACCCAAAATTCACTAAATATACTATTGAACCCCAATGCGAGCAAGTTATTAAAATGTATGTGAAAAACATGAAAAACGGCGACGTTATCATTCCTTTCATTAAAATTGATTACTTGAAAATTCCGGAATGTCTTGCCACTGTAAACAATTATGAAGCCTATTGTGTAATATTAAATCCCTCAAATGAAAAAAAAAATTGTAGATTTTTCCCAACCACTTAATGCAACCAATTTTGATGAATATGACACGAAAACTTATTCCACACTAAATCCTTATAATTTAAGACTTCAAAAAGTTGGCATTCGATCTGTCAAAAATCAGAACTCAACATTATGAATTCAGAAGAAAAAAGAGAAATCTTAAAATTATTGAAGGAATACTCTGATATTTTCCATACGGAAGGCATCAAGCTGACATTGACAAATAAAATAAAGCATCAAATAAGAACTTCTAGTGAAATCCCTGTTCACACAAAAACGTAAAGGTACCCGAAAATACATCGAAAGGAAGTTCAGAAACAAATACAAGAAATGCTGGACCAGAAGATAATCAGACCATCACATTCGCCTTAGTCATCCACCATACCATATGGATCGTCCCCAAAGAAAGCAGATGCATCAGGACAAAAATTGGAGAATTGTCATAGACTTTAGAAAAACATGAAGACATTAGGAGATCGCTATCCCATTCCTTATTTAAATGAACTACTGGACAAGCTAGCTAGAGCGCTGACAGAATAATTCATGTGCAATTTTCAAAAAATAATGCTGAAAAAGGAATCATAACCTTTATTGAAGAAATGCTTCTACCAAGAATTAAATATTATCTATATTTTGAAGACCCAATCTATGAAAAATTTAGTTCAATATTACAAAAGCATTTTAAAAACTCAGAAATTCAAATGGTGAAATGCAACAAAAAACTCATGAGGTCCTTGACGAAGATGAAATTCTACAAACTATACGAAATCACCACGAGGGTAAAACAAATCATCGTGGAATCGAGGAAACTCTACAGCTTATAAAGAAAAACTAATATTGGCCCAACCAACAGAAATCCATTCAAACTTTTATAAATGAATACAAATTAGTCAAAAAACTAAGTATGACAGACATCCCCCAAAATTAACTCTAATTGTAACCCCAACAGCTACGAAACCCTTCCAAATTACTTACATGGACAGCATAACTCTTAAAAATTGTAAATTTCTCAGTATTATAGATTCATTTTCAAAATACGCCCAAATGTACAAATTAAATGCAGCTCAACGCTCAACGAATCGAAGTAGCAAAAAATCTCATGAAATTTTTCACTCATCATTGTATCCCAGAGCAAATTATTTCGGAAAAAGGGACTCGAAATAAAAAAATTCGGTTGTAAAAGAATTATTGAAAATACACAAAATAAACATACACTTTATAAGTTCTCAACATCCAGAATCCAACGGTCTAATAGAAAGATTACATTCAATTATTCTAGACTTTTAAACAACCAAAAAAAGTACAAAAATGATGATGTACAGGGTGTCCGTTTTAAGTGATACCACTATAGCTATCTCCGAAACTGTAAGAGCCATGAGGTCGGTTTAATTGGACAAAAGTGGCAGATTTTAGTGTCCTTCAAAGGTAAGTTCACAGGGTTGCCAAATTTTTGTTGGTTTCCAAGATATGAGGAAAAATGTAAAAAAATACCTAAAACCTCGCCCAAAACTTATTCAATGAATATTTCAAAAATTATCATCTTTAGAAAAAAGTGTCCAATACAAAAGTTTCAAGATTTCTTCTTCTCTACAAAATGGTGTAATTGTTATCTTCACATCGCTGTTAAATTTCGAGATAACATTACAAACATCATTTTTTAAAATACAGACCTGGATTTTTTATTTTAATTTTTTGGAGAAGTTTTCTCTCCCTTTAAAATGTCCTATAGCTCTGACGTGTTTCCTGACGTTTCAGTACGGAAATAGCCATCATCAACCTTTTTTCGTTAGTACAGACCTGATGTATTTCGCACCAAGCTACAATACGGCATTTCCTGCTGCATTAGGTATAACTTTTTATTGTTTGTCTGGAATTTGGTTTTAAATAGCGATATGTCAAATTTATTAAGAAAAAATACCAACAAAAAGAGATGTGAAAATTTATTCAACTACACACATTTTTAATTTAATTTCAACACATTCATAACTAACCGAATAAGATACATATTCAAATTTAAAAACACTATTGTAAGTGTTGAAAATATTCTCCATTATTTCTCAAGCCTGGTCTTGCATTTTTTATCACTCTTATTTGGATGTTTTGCAGCATTCTGAGAGAAACTTTGCTATGGTCTACTTGAATTTTACGTTTGTAATCATCTACATCCAAGGGACTAGTTTTGTATGGTTTTTTATGTAATCCCATATGGAAAAATCCAATGGGGAGAGGTCGAGTGAACAAGGCGGCCAGTTCATGGGACCGGTATTACCAATCCAACAATTGGGTAGAACATTAATGAGAAATCTTGTACATCTGGGTTCACGATGTGCCGGGGCACCCTTTTACTGGAAGTTTCCGCTTACAATTCAAGGAAGATCATCTAACATATCCTGCAAATGATTCCGTAAAAATCGCAGGTACCCTTTACCATTAAGGTTCTCTTCAAAAAAGAAAAGACCCATTATTTTGAAGTCGAGGATTCCAAGCCAAACATTGATAAATTGATACCGGTCAAATCTCTCCTGGAAAGCTGTTTTCTATGAATTTGTTAGTTTCAATAGGTCCAAGGATAGTGGATATTGCGATTAAACCACACATTATTATAAAAATTATGTCAAAACGTATATCATGCGTGATCGCAGTGATGTACCATTGTGATAAAAAAAAAAGTAGAACAACAAAAATCTCCAATCTCTCCTGGTCTCTCATACAATAATTTAATTTCTAACCAAAAATTAAATTGTTTTGGCATTTTTTGACAACGTTTCAACCTAGATGGCTTCGGATGACATTATTTTGGCATTTTCCACGCTTTCTTAACCTCGAATATGTCATTGCCAGAACTCAACATATTTTGAAATGTTTATTTACTGTCAAAATTTTGTATGTTACACCGGGAGCTTAATTGGGGATAATTCTTGTACTACTTTTTTTTTATCGCAATGGTACAAGATTTCTCAATAATTTTGTGACCAATCGTTGGATTGGTAATAACGGTCCCATCTTAAACGGGCCGCCTCATTCACTCGACCTCTTCCCATTGGATTTTTCCATATGGAGTGACGTAAAAGACCAATTTTCTATACAAAACCAGTTCCTTGGATGTAGACGATCTCTAAGGAAAAAGTATTGATGATGGCTATTTCCTTAACAAAACGTCGGGAAACATGCCTATGCTATAGGTCATTTTAAAGGGCGACAAAAATTCTTTTAGAAAATAGAATAAAAAAACCTGGTGTGTATTTGAAAAAAATAAGTTGGTACTGATATCTCATAAACTGGAAGCCGTGTGAAGATAACAATTACGCCATTTTGTAGAAAAGAAGAAATATTGAAACTTTTGTATTGAACACTTTTTTCTAAAGATGATAATTTCTGAAATATTCATTGAATAAGTTTTAGGAATTTTTTACATTTTCCCTCATATCTTGGAAACGAATAAAAATTTGTCAACTTACCTTTAATGCACACTAAAATCTGCTACTTTTGTCTAATTTGACCGACCTCGTAGCTCTTACCGTTTCGGAGATAGCTATATGTAGTGGTATCACTTAAAACAGACACCCTATAGGCAAAATAATCTACGCATTATTAGCTTACAATAACACCATTCGCACAGTAATAAAGCTGAAAGCTGAAGCCTTATGAGATAATCACAGGACGCTTAGAGAATAATTCCCCTTTCGATCTAGAAATAAACACAAAACATATAAACGACTACACATCTAACCACCGCGATAAAGTCAAAATCCTTTATCAAAAACTCAATGAAAACATTCAAAAACAAAAAGAAAAAATTATTTAAAAAAACTAATGAGACAAGAGAAGAAACGCCCTGTATTCCTGATAAAGTTTTATGTTCAAAATAAACAAAAATACAGGAAAACAATAAAAAAAAATTAAGCCTGAAAAAATTAAAACTATAAATAAAACACTGAAAACAGCTAAAATTCATAAAGCACACGTTAATACTCAGGAAAAAATTCATCTCTCAAACCTAAAAAGACCAAGAAAAAAACCTTACATGTTTCAATCCTTTCCAGGACCATCCACCTCATCCACACATCCATAACCCAAGGAATCAAAGACCTAGGACTTTTAAATCTCCAACGTTCGTACACCAATACAATTTAGAACCATTGTTTAGTGAGTTTAAAAACCTGAATATTCAATTTGACAACCTAAAAAACGCTTTTAAAAATAGCAGCATGATTCGTGAAACCAGTAGCTATATAAATACTATAAACTTAACCCAAAATTACATTCGCCAAAAAATTGACAATATTTACTTTCATGCTACCCTCAGAGGCAAAAGGGGAATAAAGTTCGCCTTACGAGTCTAGCACTATGGAAAGAATGCGGATAATAGAATTGCAATATTGCCTATTTGACTTCCAATAGAAAATACCTTGATATTTATCTATGTTAACACCTACATTTATAAAGAAAAAGTAATATTTAAAAACGCTGGGCGCACACCTATGACAGGCTGCATAAAACTCGAAATGAATGGCGTTATTCCCCCTTGCCCTTCAGACGTCGTAGTGCTAGACTCGTAAGGCAAACTTTATTTAACGGGTTAGGCTATATTAGGGAAGAAATAACAGGAAATTTAGCACATATGATGACAGTAAAAGATTCCATAAAATCCTCAATGACCTTGAACGTAATCAAGAAAATATTATGGACCAATTAAACATGCAGTATTCATTTAATATAGATAGTAGAAAATTTCAATGGAACAATAAAAAATATTCAACACAACGAAATTATTCCACAATCAAGAATAATGCAATTATTGAGTCAAATGATGCAAGAAAATTCTGACTTTTTGGAAAGGATCTTCTTAATCAGTTGGCAATTCTGTATATCTTAAACATGCTTCAGGACATTGAAAACTCCATTACTTTCTGTAAACTAGATACCTTACACCCAAGCATCATAACATCTAAGCAGTTAGTTGAACAAATAGAAAAACTTTCAAATCACTATAAAAATCAATTTGCATTTGACATAAAATACGAAAACATACCTACTAGATTTTGAAAGCATGATAAAAATTAATTGCAAAATAGAGGCAAATAAGATAATTTATTTCCTGTCATAATACCAATAGATTTTGAGACTAAATTTAACTTATTTCATTTCCTGCCAATTCCTACTTCATATGAATCAGAATGCGCCAGCATAATCCCTAATATTCGATTTATTTTAAAATCTGATAAAACCCTTGAGTGGCAGATGTACCCAAACATACCATTGCTCCAGTCAGCTAGTCGCAAACTTCGACGCATCTTGTGAAAATGAAATCCTGTTCATGAAGAAAACCGAAAAATGCACACTCACCAAACTAGACATATCCTAGAACCATGTCCAAATTATTACAGATTTAAATCCATATCTTGTTGTATTTGAGAGAGTGAGAATAGAAAAGAGTCCAAGGAGTTAATAAAAGGAATCTTTTTGATTGAAAGTGGCCCTTGCGACATATTCTTTAGAGGCAACAAATTGAACTTTTCAGAGAAAACCTATGGAAGTCTTCTGCTATTCAACATTCCTAAGTTCTCGATGCAAAAGCAAAATACTTCAGAATTCAGCATACAATAATTGATGGATCGAGGAACTGCCCATTAACCACATGAAGATTAAACACGCTGAATACTGTTATATGCCCAGCTTATGGATTGTATTCCTTTACATTGTTCTGATCCTAATTTTAATTTTTAAAAAGACTTTTCTACAAAAAAAAAAAGGAGACCAAAGCACCAACCTTTACAGATGCCGAAACCGAGCAAGAAATAGAACTAACTAAAGAACCTGCCAGGAGGAGGAACTCATTCTGTGAAGGCAGGAGTTATACACCCTGTATATATAGACACGAGCTCAAGCTCAGGCGCTTGACCCGATTGACCCACTTCTAACTTGCTACACATTATGCAATTTCTACATTTTACTAGTTTAATTAATAATCAATTTGCAACTAAAGCAAAGTTTCATTTTCAATATTATAAATTAATTTCTTTTAGTCTAGAATTAGAACTGATACTTGTAACTACTTTTCGGTCTTTTCGTAATAAACCTTTTCAAAAAGTGAAGCTGACCAATGCAACGGAATATGTGATAAAAATAACATAGTAGATGGCTTTTGTTCCTCGATCTCACCTATTTCTCTTTTGATATCTTTTTATATGTTTCAATGTAATGCTAGTATTTTATTAATAATTATCAGTTGTCGAACGAACAGTTCTAGTTTTAATCTGGAACTTATCCCACTCTAAAATATAATGGGAGAACATTCTCAAATAATATTCTGCATGGGGGCCTATAAACTTTATAAATACAAATAATGCTCTGCTTGAGAATTTTAGAAAAATACATATTAGTAACTAATTACATATGCTAATAATATCTATGTATTTTAGGCTTTGGAACGTCGCTTGGATTACAAAGAACTACAAAACGGTGCACTAAGGTAGGTACGAATTAAATTATAGTTTTCATTTGAAAGACAATTATTTTCACGGTGCTGTTTTTTTGTTTTTATTAGAAAATCCCGACACGTCATGAGTACACCCAACGAATTAACAAAATAGGGGATACTTTTAATAGTAAACGTTTGTTAAAACTTATCAACTAGTCTGGCCTAGGAACACTCTGACTGAAAAAAGGGATTGGTACATTATTTTACTAAAAAGTGAAAAAATTTGAAATATTTTTTCTCTAATACAATTCCCCTGCCCTAGACCAAACATGTAAAAAATATACACTGGTTGAGCACAGTATTACCGAACTGATATTAGTAATTTTATTATTGTGATAATAATACAAACAGATCAATTTGCCCTCTTATTGTTATTGTTTTTTACTCAAATATTAAGCTAGAAATCCTATGAAAAAGTGGATCTGGTGTAGTATAAGTTGTGAATTTAACAACCAGATTAGACCTTCAATGAGCTGTTTGCTGTATAATATGCTGTGTAGTCAGTAAAACTACCACAGGCAAAATGTGAAACTTTGACACTAGCAGTTACATGTATCAAAATACAAATGAGTACTTTTTTCTTCAAAATCCATAATATAAAGTGAATATTTTTTACATTTTTTCAAATAACAGATCAGAGCTCCTAAAAACAGCTAGTTGTAAGGTTTAACTTATTCTTCATAGATAATTTTAAGTCAACATTTATTCGTTTAATATTGATCCAATATATTAGACACGAATAATGTGAAAACTGTCTCTAAAACCTAATGTGATCTTATTTTTTTATGTCAATAATTTTTCTTTGACATAAATTAAATAGAACCGAAAATAATATGCCTGTATTATTATTTGGGAATGGATGAATTTGAATCATGGAATCATTTTTTTTAAATTGAGCTAGTCAAGATTGATTTGCTTGCCTATGGAAGCCGGAAAAATGTGATGCAGTAGTTTCGTATAAGTTGGGAAAAATTCCTTAAAAACAAGAGTTTCCTTAGTTTTGGATGTTTTATAATTTGAAAAAAATATATTACTTTTTAATATTTAGTACTAATATAGAATTTAAATGCGTTGTAAAGAATATTTTCATACTATATAATTATTAATTGAATTTAGGTGTTTAGTGAAGTTTTTTCTAAAACTACATAATTTGATTGATAATAAAGATGCAATAATCCATAAGACATAAAAACTAGCCGCAAGAAAAAATCCTTGATTAAAACTAACACAAAGATTATGGGATATTTTGGTCTTAAAAACTCTCTTTCAATAATTATTATTACGTTTTTAGCCTTATAGAATGGTGATTGGTAATAAGAAGAGCATACGATTAAGATTTTATTTTTGAACCCTCGGACAATATTTGATAAGCTTATTTATTGTATTGTGGGAATACTCCCTTTGCGCTGTACATACAAATTTTATTCCATTTTTACTTTTTTTATTATTTATTTATTGTAATTTTTTTTTTTTTTAATAATTATTACTTAGTGTCAAATAATAAGTCCCTTAAAGTGTGTTATTATTCTTTGGAATAATTTAGTTGAAGGTATAAACATGCCGTTATGCTCATCCTAGTTATTTGATTTGCGTCTCAAAAATACTACTCGTAAGCTAAAAGACATTTAGCTAAAAAAAATAAAATGTGTATTATAAGTACCAAAAGTCTTTATTTATTTTTGTATCACATAAGTTGGCCCGTAAAAAGATGTGTAATAACAGTACCAAAAGAAGGTTCAATGTCGCCAGTTTCTTTATTATTTTTTGTGAACTTTTCTATACTCTGGCCTAGAGAAAGTGGAGTCAATTTTATTTCGATTTGTGTCTGATTATTTGTAGTTGGTATCCAGCTTAGTTGAGGAGCTCCTATAAAGAATGTCAGTTGATTGGGATGGAATAGGTTGAAAAAATTGAACTTACCTGCAATGCTAGAAGACCTAAATATCCACAAAATTATAATGTACAATGGAATGTTGCTGATTACATTTTTGATTTTGCTCAACAATGCAAAAGATAGAAGGGTTGCTAGTCGGAACTAAAACATAATTTTGTTGTATGGAAAAGTTGCACTTGAAACGACTGCTGAATTATTATCAACATTAGTTGCTCAAATTTTGATGGAATTTTCTTTATTTTATTCTATAGGAAACGGTAAACTATTATTTAACCGACTCAAAACTCATTGTCAGAGTAACACACACTTTATTCGAAATAGTGGAATCGAACAATTTTTACCCACTCAATTACTTGATGGTAATTTATTTCCAAAATGACACTGACACACATTTTGCCTCACAACTTTGGTAATTTCATTCCGATCTTTATAATTAGGCTCAAATTATGGCCAATTGAATCCCCTATAAATGTCTTGTTAAAAATTTTCAAGCAGAGTACAACAAAAAAAAAAGAAAAAGAAAATTATTAATTCTCCAAGGCAGTCAGTCGTAGAAAAACAATATACCAAATACACCTTGAGTTTCCACTATTTTTGAACTCTACTTTTTGAACAATGTTGTGGAGATGTGAAATTTCTATTTTGTCTGTCAACCATGCTATCTTAAACATGTTTCATTTAAATATCAAACACAATAGAAGCATATTAATATACTTACAGCAGCAAATACAGTATAGTACATAGTGGTCGTAGGCAACAAAAACAATAACAAGGTAAATCCCAAAGTACCGATAAATAATTGATTCGAAGAATATTCGCAAGAATCCACCCTGTTTCTCAACGGATTAGATTTTCTACCAATAAACAATCTCCATAGCGAAATTAGCCCTCTAAGTTGCAAGGAAAATAATCTAAAATAAAAATTATCATTTATTTATAATTGAATTAAGACTGCAAATTATTACCTTGCAGCATAAATATAAATGCAGTACACGTGAAACGTGGCCACAGAAATGATGTCGGAAAATATGGCAATCTGACATGAGAATCCTAATAAGGCCGGCAGTAGGATGATGAGAAAAATTGCATCCAAAAGCGGTTGCATTGTATGCAAAAATACCATCCATAAGTTTATGTGGCAAAAGAAAAATTTGCCTAGTGAATTATTGAAGGCGTAGTTTAGTTTTAAGCCTATCGGAGAGCCCATAAGGTAGATTAACAGTTCACGGAGATTAGTGACGAATATCTGTGATATGTGATCAAAATTTGATATGATGAGGCATTTATAATCGATGCAAACGTATATGAATGCTACGCCTAAAATAAGGTCTATGAGTTTGGCTGTGACAGTGTTTCCTATCCTAGGCGAAAAGCTTCTTTCTTCATTTAAAACAGTCAAAAACCATTTTAGGGTTTTTATATTTGAGTCGAGATGAGTGAAAATTGCTGAGCTTTTCATTAGAGGCCTGAGCTTCAGAAATAACTAAAACAAAAAAGACCATTATTAATGTCTCGCTCATTTGAAGGTACAGGGTATTTGATTATATTTAAGCCCATTGGTACCTATACAGCCTTCACTTTTTTAATGGAACACCCTGTATATTATGCGATAGAATTAAAGATATTTTCTTCCTGATTCCAAATATATAATTATTGATCACATTTGCGTGAGCCATTTTCGACATTTCTTAGCTTAAATTATAAATAATTTGCAAAGAATTTTCATGAAATATAAAAAGTCTTAAATATGTAGTAGAGGCTGTAGGTATGGGCTTAAATATAATCAAATACCCTGTACAGGGTGTTTCAACGAGGACTTAACAGAGGCTTATTTTTGACCTTCCCTGTATTTTCGAAAAAAAAATAAAATAGCCAATTGGAATATTTTTTTCTGGGGAATACAAAAATGGTACAGGGTGTTATAAATGTTACCCCCTCCTAACTTTTTCATTTGACGTTTTCGACAAAAGTGTTGAATACAAAAGTTTTGAGAAATTATCAAAAGTTTTTAATTAAGTCAGTTTCAAGCATACAGGGTGCTTCAAAAAAGTATAGCAGTGCGAAGTTACATTCATTTAATTGGAACACCATGTGTATTGTGCATTTCCACAATATATGGTTTGATATGTCAACCTCATCTGCCGCATCAATGAATAAATTACATCTTTGTCAACAGAGGTGTCAATTTGTGTTGCAGGTTGCGACTATTAGCTGTTCTTTCAATAAGTCTGGTCACCTACTTTTGGTTAAGGGTAGTGTCTGACTAATTCTAAATGGTACACTGAAGAAATAAACTCAAATAATGATATGCAAATTTACTTAACAACTTATTAAAAATATAAAGAATACGGACTTTGTAATTATGTACTGATTTCTCTTTTTATTTTGGGTTTTTACAGGTCCCCAGTGGCACATATAAATCTCTTTCTTGAAAAGCTGGATATGTTGGTCTCAGAGATATCCAGTAATGATTTGGTGATTGTTGCGGGTAACCTTAACGTTGACTATTTGAAACATTGAGTTTCTAAAAAATATTATAAGTTCTTGTAACCTCTCAATGCACGTTGCCGAACCAACAAGAATATCCTCTACTACCTCTACGTTAATAGATTATGTCTGCTCATCATTTGTTCAGATGGAAAATCTGTGTTCGACAATTAATGCTGGATTGTCTGATCATGAAGCAATATTCTGTTCATTTCCAGTCAATGACAGGTCGCAAAACCCAATACATATTCTGGTATTTTAATTATAGTCCAGGAGGCGGCGTCGAGAACATGCAAGAATTTTCGGAAGGCTGATATTTTCAAAATAGGTTGTATTTTAGTGATGGAAAGCTAGTGTACAGTCAGCACTCACAGTTCCGGGACAGCTGGCGCTGGGACCCGCGCAAAGTTGTAATTTTAAGAAGCATCTAAACTGTTTTCTCAAAGGTCAAGATTTATCGAAATTTCGCACATTATCTGTTTGAAGGTCACTGATAACGTATGTAAATCTTCAGACGTCTAGGTCGCTGCAAAAAGGGTGTCAAACGCCCTTAAAGTTTTTATTTTATGGCATTTTCTTCGGTGTCCTGTCAAAATATGTTTTTGCAGGTATTTGACGAATATATTTGAAGGGACACCACAGAAAATACCATAAAATTAAAACTTTAAGGGTGCCTGATACCCTTTTGGCAACGACCTAGACGTCTGACGATTTTCATATGTTATCTGTGACCTTCAAACAGATAATATGCAAACTTTCTATAAATTTTGAGCTTTGAGAAAACAGTTTAGATGCTTCTCAAAATTACAACTTTACGCGGGTCCCAGCGTCAGCTGTCCCGGAATTGTGAGTGCTGACTGTTCACTAGCTTTCCATAACCAAATTCGCCTTACGAGTCTAGCACTATGGAAAGAATGCGTATAAAAAAATTGCAATATTGTCTATTTGACTTAATATTTTACTATGTTACACACCTACATTTATAAGGAAAAAGTAATATTTAAAAAGGCTGCGCGCACGCCTATGACAGGCAGCATAAAGCTCGAAATGAATGTCGTTATTCCCCCTTACCCTTCAGACGTCGTAGTGCTAGACTCGTAAGGCGAACTATAAAGTACAACCTATTTTGAAAATATCAGCCTTCCGAAAACTCTTGCATGTTTTCGACGCCACCTCCCCAACTATTAGGTTCATATTTGCTAAGGAATCAATGATCAACAAGTATCGTACTGCTTAATAATTGGAACAAAAAGAGAAACATTTAAAAAAGCACATTCACGACCTTTGGTGTTTGGGTTCGAGTTGGGTTAGTCAGTGTCAACTTACACCGTCGGCCGAGAATGTGTCACTTTTCTACCTAAATACACAATATACTATTTTGGGCCGCATAGTTTCTATGAAAGAGAAGAATGTAATCAACTCTCTAACACAACAATTGGACCAATACATCTGGCTGGACAAAAAAAAATTAAAATACTCAAGAAATTAATGGAAAATACTTATGTGTTTTACGGACCAATAGAAATATCTGCGTCAATGAACCTTTTTGTATAAATAAAACGTGCTGGAAAATATAAAATTGATGAGGCATTTGGGTAAAGCTTTGAAAAATATTATATTCGGAAACACTTGAGGAACAAATTCTGAAAATCTTTGGCTTTTGAATACTTTTACTTGAGCTTTTACTGTAAACTGTAATATACACTATATTAGATCTGTTCCAAGCCAGCCACCAAAAAACAGTTCCGGAACCACTCTGAATTCGAATTTGGGTACCATGTTCTCTTCGAACATTGGCTATAATCAGCGCAATTTGCACATTGTCCACTGCTTTTCGGAAAAGTGTAGTTGTGCTAACACCATACCATTCTCTAAGATTTTTTAGCCATGATATTCGTCTACGGCCTGGACCTCTTTTTCCTTCAATTTTTTCCTCTATCATCAGTTTAAGGAGTTCATGTTTGTCATTTCTTAAAATGTGTCCAAAATATTCAAGTTTACGTTTTTTGATGATACTTCTAATTCTCTACACCGTAATATAAAATGTTAAACACATAACAACGATTTCGGATTCTAAGCACAGATTTTTCGTTTTGCGCAGAATCCTGACGGTGAAATGTGCAGTTTCCTGCTGCGTTGGAACAAAACTCCTATGTTTATTTTGAAGTTTATCAACCGACTAATCCAGCTAATATATTACTTGCCGTTGCTCGCAGGTGTGCACGCTCCTATTTTAGCCCGGTATTCATAGTCATACTAACCCAACAGTCAACACTACCCTTGAAGGTTTTATAGTATAAAACTGAAAAAATGGAAAATTTTCATGTCATCTCTCTCTAAGGGGGTTAAGGGGTGAAATTTGCACAATGTGATAATTTTTCTTTGATGAGATTACAAACCTCTATAATTGTGCCAAATTTCATGTTTCTAGCTTATCTAGAAGTAGGTGAACCGAGAGGTGAACCTTCTGGACACACAGACATATTTTGCCAAGTACCTATTTTGCCTTTTATATAAATAGGTATAGATATAGATAATGGCGACAGCAGATCTTCAACATTTTCAAAAATCGTTTAAGATTCCAAAAAGCCCTTAGAAACCCCTTCAAAATCCTCTAGAATGCTCCAAAATCACTTTAAAAATCTAAAATCTTCCAAAATCCTGTAAAATCGTGTGAAGATTTTTAAAATCCTCAAAATCCTACAAATAAAGATGTAAAATCTGAGTACATATTTGAAGGAGTTAACCACCCCTCGAGGGAAGATTTACACTATTTGCGGATGATCAGACAATTCCATGGCATGATCAAGAAGTTGACAGGCTTTCCAAGATTATTCAGGAAGATGTATTTTTGTTGAAAGAATGGTTTGATGCAAATCGATTATCCCTCAACATTTCGAAAACTAATATTCTTAATTTTAAATGTGACATTAACAACATTCACCTGGAAAATGAAGGTCTCTCTAATTCCGAATCAAATTAATTTCTTGGCTTAACAATAGATAGAAACATTAAGTTTTCTGAACATGTCAACATTCCTAATAAAAAAAATTGCTTCTGGCTGCTATGCACTTTAGAGTAATATCAGATCAGACCTTGGAATTTTCTGGAATTAATTTCATTTTTAGAATTAATTGGCATTTTTTGAAATCGGTGGCACTTTTTGGAATCTTTGGGATTTGTACAAATTTGGCCAGCGATTTGCGTCTCCCAAAAATCATACAAAAAAACAGGGTGGTCTATTTATATAACAGTTCATCTATGGCATACTCTTTGAAATTTTTTTCAAAAATACAGGGAAGGTCAAAAATAAGCTCCTGTTCCGAGGGGTGTTTCACCCACTAAATTTTCTACAATTAGGTACTGTATTTGACTGTCAACTATCATCTTTGAAGTTGACTGTATTGACTTTTGAGCTATTTTTAACAAGATTGCAGGCTCCACTCGCAGCGACTGCTTACGATTTTTCGCGAGTGTATCTACATAGAATGTACGCTACTGCATGTGACTGCACGAAATTTATAACAATTGCAGCGACTGTATTATGACTGCATGAGTCCATGTATTTCATTGACTGCATGAGAATGTATGGACTGCAGAAGAATATATGGACTATCACTATATATACATGAATCTATGATATCAAAGTCTATGATATTTATACACCTAATACATGAGTGAAACACCCCTCGCCCTGTTCAGTCCTCGTATACACAAAATTGGCCCCATTGAGTAAATACAATTAATTGGTTACTTACTTTAGTAACTAAATTAAGTAACACAATTAGCCAATATAATATATTAGGCTTATTGTTATGTGTTCTACGCTTATTTAGCCCCAATTTCTCATTTAATTCTCTTATGTGTATCCCATAATTTGTATCTTCTTCATTATTACACAGAACATTGCTGTTTCGGAAAGCTTCGTAATCATAGTAAACTTGTGTAATAATTGAACCACTATCATGGTTCACTCGAATATTTGTCGTTCCATATTCAATAAAAATGGTATTTTTACCTAAAAAATCGCCTGTGAGGAACTTTCCCGTATAACCTATGTGGTCTGTGCACTGGGAAACTACTTGTGAATTTGTAATATAATAGGCCTCGGAATTTTCGTGATTTTTGTAAAAACCCTGGATAAATCCTGATTTGTCCGGTAGGAAATTCTTTGGGATGAAAACAAGGATATTATTATGATTTGTGAACATTTTAAAAAAAATGAATAAATAAACAACAAAAACTGAGGTTATGATTTGTATGTTGGACAGCTTTCTTCTTTTTTCTGTATGGCGTTTGCTACCGTAGAGAAGAGGGCTTATCGATATAAATATCTATCGATATGAATTGTTTCCAAAACAATATTATGAGAAAATATCGATACTTTCGATTCAGGGCCGGATTATGAACATTTTATATGGAAAAGATTCCTAGTTGAAGGTAAACTTGAAGTGTATACGCATCGTACTGAACGAAAAAGCGATTACGATTCGGCTTTAAATCAGCTGTCCGAAATTACAATGGTAGAGTGCGAAAACTCTCGCTGGAGGTGACGTCAGCTGCAGCCCTTTATTGTTACGATCAACAACCTTTGTGCTCTTTGACAAACAGAGAATCTTATCAATTATGAAACATTTGGCCAAGAGTAATTTAGTATACAGAGTGAGTCCAAAATAAGTGCGCATCTTGTTATGATAGATAGAGTACAGTACGACGCACAGTGATGCGGATTTGAATTCTAGCGGGACAAAACCTCAGTAGCATTTTTTTTAGACTTCAATATCAAAAAATAGTATCCATATGTATTTTTGTAGCTTGCTTTGTTTTTTAGCTTTATGGGTTAGTGCAGAAAGGCGCACAGTAATAGATCATTTGTTGAATCTACCCGGACTGAAATGGTAAAATCGTTGGTTGTTATTTTGTTCATATAATATCGTACAACGTTTTTTTTTAAATTCACTGAAACTGCCAAAAAACATGGGTACATTTTTTGTGACCATAAACCTGCGGGTGTATTATTTAAATGACATGAAGAAATAAAAATGTATTTTATTCGATGATTTTATTCCATTTACATATAGAAAGTGGCAAAAAAGTCGCTTATAGTACCTGTAACGTTTTAGTTACTCGTATACGAAAAAGTGATCCTGATGAAAGTTGCTGTTTTTTATTTTTTTATTTTTTAACTAAGCAGTTCAAAATACGTGGAAATTAAAACTACAAAAAATTCATAGTTGTCTCACTATAGAAGAAAAGAGGACGTTCTATTTGAAAAAACAAAGTTGTTTTGGATGGCAACCAAGCCAAAAATGACACAAGACATATTTTATACAGGTAGAAATATAGGGAATAATGTACTGAGCAACTTTCATCAAGGTCACTTTTCTGTATACGAGGTAATTGAAAAGTAACAGGTAACAGAGGTATTATGCGCTCTGTATAATGTACCATGTACCATCGTCACCAAAAGTAACTGGGACAGTATCATATTAGCTCTTGTACTATTATATGAATTTTATTGTCAAATATTTGTCAAACTATGAATTAAAAGCATTGAAATGAATGACGGAAGAATTAGTCCAGGAGATTATTCTGCAATATTTTTTTCCCAGAAACTTTTGGTGGCAATGATACCTAAAAGACTCTAGGATCCTATAGCAGTGATATATTGTTATAGTGTGCACATGATGAGCAGTTTCCACATCCAGCACGTTTAAATGTAAAAATTACAGGGACACTCATTTTTTTTTTTTTTAATAAGGGAAATAATTGTTATTTATAATATTAGTATGTAAAATTATACTGAGTGTAAAGATTGTTGCCTTCCCACCTCATACATAAATTGGAATAGGAATGTTCTAGAACAATAATTTTAATAATGATATTGTGTTTTAACTGAATTTACTACCGATCTACAAAATTTTAGCCTTATCATACCCACAGGAACCCAACCCAAATAAACATAAATTTTTTGAGAGATTGAGAATTCTGGTATAGTACTTATATTGATAAAGTTTAAAACATGAACAAATAATAAATAAGAATTCATTCTATTTGGTTATAACGTTTCGTTTGTGAACGTTTGTGAAACACCACCATGGAAAATCAAAGGGAACTAATAAGACATCATATAATGAAGCTGTTCGACGTTCATTTCAGACCGGCTTTGCAGCTTCTAACCCCAAGAACCGGTGCGAGACTCCTGAATTTTTTTTATTTTTTTTCAGTGGTGCGGCAACGTGCGGTAAAAAAAAATATGAGCATAGAAACTACAAATATTGTAGCATCAAAATTGCTCAATACGTGGTGGTAACTATTGGTAACTCAACAGATCTACTTCACCCAATATGGCGAGAATTGAAAAAAACGTGAAAGTTTGATATCTGTAGAACAAAGTCGCGGAGCTTTTTCGAGAATAAAATAACTACAGTATAAAAGTACTCATCTTTACCAATCTGCAACATAATTTGGTTTTTGAATAGAACGTATTCGTACTAATAAATTTTTATTTTCGTATGACTTCTGCCAAGCTGAGCAGAAAACGACCAAATTGGGTTGATATAAGCTTATCAAAATACAAAGAATATACAATCCATAACAATAATTGTTGAATTTTTATATCAATTAGAATGTCTACTATCTATTCTTATCAACAAACTTTTTTTACCTTGTTTCTAAAAAATTCGGTTTTGTCCCGCTAGAATTCAAATCCGCCGCACTGTGCGACCATAGCTTTTTGCATGGTTACATGATGTGTCCGCAAACATCTCGTTGAGAAAATACAGTGTTGTCATTTTTGGAGCAACTTTGTTCAAATTTCCAGAGAGTGTTCGCGATGTTCTCAACGTTCTCAAGCATCTCTTAAAAAATCCGTTTCAGTTCCACTTTTTCAAGACCGGACCTAGAGCGACTCTTATTTATTAAAAAGAAAAAAGTGGTACGCCCCTGGGTTTTTTGTCAAATTACAAATTATTTTTTAATTCCTTGTTCAATTTTAAACCAAGAAGGTAGGTTCGAGTTTTTCTTGTTCGATGCAACGTTTACGAGATAAAAAATAAAAATGTATTGTTGGAAAATCTCGTTATTCGATACACTCCGCTCTGTTGAAAAAATAAGAGTCGCTCTGGGTCCGGTTCTGGAAAAGTGGAACTCAAAAAAAGTTCCATTTTTCAATTTTTTTCTAACTTTTTATAATAATTGTTCAAATAACACTGGACATAACGATTTTTAAGGCCAAAATGCTCTATTTTAATGATTTTAATAGAAACAATCCGGTCGAGGACTGCGACTCTGACGGCACGTGACGTCAGTCGCAGTACTCGATGTTCGATTTTTGGCGAACATATGTCTTAAGCCTAATACTCAATAGTTGTATTCCTTTCAAACCTAGGAGGAGCTCCGGAACAGCTCCTGGGCTTCACGCGCTTATTCCTTTCGAAAAGTGTTTGTTGCACCACGCATCTGTTCCCTGCAAATCGGGGGCGACTAAGCACCGGAGCGAGTAGCTCGAGTGTTTCAAACTCTTGAGTGGAATACAACTATTGCTTCGACAATTTGACGTTTGATTCACGCATAAAACATCAAATTGTCGAAGCAATGTCAAAAGTGCGAATTTCGCAGTTATGAATACAAGGCTTTAGGCTGTTAGGGATGCCACCTTGGAAAGTAAGTTGAACTGGAGAAAAAAAAACCCTTATTGGAAAAAAAGCTGAAAAATAAAATCCTACAAATCTGATAACAGATACATTGTGCCGGTACTTTTGCTCTCATTTGATAGCCGTTAAAAATGATCAGGCGTTAGAATGTGTTCTAACCACATCATACTTATAGACCTTGGCCCATGCAAAACTTTGACAACGTATCAAATTCGTTAATCGAGAGCAAAAGTATCGGCCCTAGGTACACTCTATCTATACACAAGTCTCCGGCATCACCGGATGATGCTTCAGATTTGGGAGTTGAGCCTGTTGGAGAGGGACATCCAAGGATTATTACACACTACACAGGATAGGACAACCCTAAGATAGCCTATCCGCATATGACCTCTGTAGATCAAATCTTAGCCGCCCACCCCGCCAAAGCAGCAGTGATGACGTAGACAGCGTGTTGTTCTTCGCCTTGACGTAGGGTGTTTGCATTACAGGCTACGATTCCGCTGACTTTTACTTTACGCATAGAGTCCGCGTCAGCAATAAAGAGTACGGTGACGACACGGAAAGCTGCGCGAAGCGGGTCGGATCTCTCTCCCTCGTCTATCTCTCGCTGTCTGCCGTGACCTCGGCCGTGAGCTGGAACCAGCAGCGGGGTATCTTTTTAGACAAAACTTGGATTGAAAATAAACTAAATAAATATGCCTGCTGGCCGTACGACAATGAACCACGTGCTTGGCGTTCGGCAGCAGCACCGAACAATACGATAGTTCTGTTAGTCTTCAAAATTGGTTTTGTGCGCATTTGACGTCACCGTACTCTTTACTCTTGACGCGGACTCTACTTGGTTTTAGTACATTAATGGCTTGTTAGCAAACAACAATCTCAGATTGTGCCACACAAAAACAGTTTCATATTGACATTGACACAATCTGAGGTTTTTGTTAACTAACATGTACTTAACTAACGATTGATCTAGCCGCACTAATGGCCGTTTGCGCCGACCATTTTGAGGGAGGTGTAAAAATGTCACTTTAAGCGTTGCTTATTGTTAAAAATTCCTTAAAATGGTCGGTGCAAACCAAGGATGATACACACTACTACTACAGGATGGCCTATCCTCATAAGGCCTGTGTGTAATAAATCCCCCCTTACCTCCCCATGCCAAACAACCAGTTGTAACGTAAGCAGCATGGCGTTTCTCGCCAGGACATAGGCTGTTTAAACAGCTGACGACTTAGTTATGACGTCGGCAATGGTTGAAAACAGTTAAAAACTCATATGGCGGCGATTACCAAAAACGAGGCCGATAAGCACTCCTTAGAGTGTGTATTCTCCTTGGGTGCAAACGGCCATAAGTAACATTCTAAAACAACCCTTTCTAGATCTCGTTTGCATCTTCCGCTTTGCCTATTATGTTATTGAAAATTAAATAATATTTTTCATCATAAATGTATATTTTAAACTACGACCTCTGGCGCAAACAGTTAACGACACCGTTGATGGCGTCGACAACGGTGCAACACCGTATGACCTTGATTCCAAAAATCGAGGCCGATGAGCAATTCTATAGTAGTGTGTAATATCCTTGAGCAGGAACAGTAGCTGGGTTCGGCTATTCAGCGCAGAGTTGGAGTGGAGTGAACAGAGCTAATGGAGTCACCCCTAATACGGTAAAAAGCAATACCCGAACGGCTGGAGTGCGAATGGAGTCACTCGGAGTGTACGGAGTGAACAAGCCGAACCCACCTAATATTGTGCTGTTGCGAAACCCGGAGAGGTGGCAACCCTAGGCTGAGTTTGGCTTTGCATTCCACAGAGCGAACCGGTATGAGCATGGATATCATGCGTGTCGTACGTGGTCAGCGGTCATAAGCCCAACACAAAAGAGAACACTCTGAGAGCAAAAACGAACAGGATCTTATCGTTGCGAGCGCGCTCAGAGTTTACAGAGTGTAAACCCGAACTCAGCCTAAAGCCTAAAGCCTAGTCTCCATAGACGCGAAATCGCGGAAAGCGAATTTTTTAAGTGTCATTTTTTGGTGGCTATTTCCGAGCAAATTATTCCCATGTCTCCATAAGCGCGAAAATCGCGTTTTATTTAACAGGTTAAGGTTACCTATGTGTTGTTGTTTGTAATCAATTTGAATTCGATTTAAATGCTTTGAATTTCAAACACTAATCTTTGAAAACCATGAAAGTGATTACTAAAAAACAAAAAAAAGATAATATGTGTCTTGGTGTTGTCTTAATTACATTTAAGGCCCTATTATAATCTTCCTCATCAACCAGCAAGCTGTCTGTTTTCGGGTCTACAATATTCAATTCTTTGGCAGTATCCATTCTTTATTAGGTATCTACAAGTACAAAACACATCAACGACTCACAGAGAACAGAGCACATACCGACAAAAACATAAACAAAACTAAACTGAAAATGACACCACATAACCTCATTTTTTTTGGCGAAATTTCGCGGAAAGTTAAAAAATAGTTAACTTTTTTGCGACGCCGCAAGAAGTTAAAAAATTCGCGAATTTTTCCCGCCATAAAAAAATCAAATGTTAAATGTCAAATTCCAACCAATCGGAAAATATCCGCAAAAAAAAATTCGCGATTTCGCGTCCATGGAGACTAGGCTTAATACTCATAACCATAACTGCGAAATTCGCTCTTTTTGACATTGCTTCGACAATTTGACGTTAAATGCGTGATTCAAACGTCAAATTGTCAGAGCAATGTCAAAAAAGAGCGAATTTTGCAGTTATGAGTACTAGGCTTAAGTCTTTACGGCCATTGGCCCGACCCGTCTATCTATAGTTGTATTCCTTTCACACCTAGGAGGAGCTCCGGAACAGCTCCCGGGCTTCACGCGCTTATTCCTTTCGAAAAATGTTTGTTACACCACGCATCTATTCCCTGCAAATCGGGGGCGACTAAACACCGGAGCGAGTAGCTCGAGTGTTTCAAGCTCTTGAAAGGAATACAACTTATGGTGGATGCTCGCATATATGACGTACGAATATATTTTAATAAAAACACAAGAAAAACAAGCAAAACGCACCCCGATACCCAATGGCATAACAAGAAAAATAAGAACAGATTACAAAACTAAAACAAGTGTGTAAAATAGTATGTGTGCAAGGACAAAAAACGATTCCGTCAACAGCAGGGTTGCGTTTATAAATAACACTCTGAATGTGGGAGTAACCCTAGAGTAGTAGTGACCGGCACGTTGGTTCTTTATCAAGGACGTGAAAGACGTACTAAAGCCAAGCAACGTGTTGCCGGGATGGAGATTGGATGGGTGACGGCAGTAGTACGGGACGGTAGCCCGCTTGCGCTGCCGCCAATCATCTGATCTGCAAGTATGAATGAAAAGTATGAATGAGAAGTATGAATGAGAAGGAGTAGAGCCACAGCCGTAGAGCCCATACGAATGGCATACAAAAAGCGTATAAAAGGCTGCAGTGTAGAGTATGGGCTCGAAAGGGTGAAATTAAAAAAAAAAAACCCTAGAGTAACTCTAAGCCGTTCGTAAATTAACAGGTGCTTACTCGGAGCGTTACGCTAGAATCGTTCAGAAAACGAGAGTTGACGTGCCCAGAGTGCACCCAAATCACCCTACTCAGGAACAGGGGTATGATTATCGAAACCATTCGAGTACATTTCATATACGAAATTTGATACAATTCCGAATGCCCCCCATGTAATTTACATTGCTGTCAGTCAAATTTCGTGTACGAAATGTACTCGAATGGTTTCGAAAATCGCAACCGGTTGAAAAATGCCCCGCAGTTTTTACCGGGTTTGACGTTGACAATTTACCGCAACTAATCCAATACGTTCAGAAATAGTGCATAGTTCATCCAGAGTGCACTCCAAGTATGATGTCAGAACACTCTGACAAAGAACTACTCTATCTTCACACTCCATTTCTAAACGCACTCCTCGTTGTCGGAAGCTACGGAATGGTTCCCGATCCGATGTCTCGCTTCGATGAGTACGTTCATAATACCAACGCAAGGTTAGATAGGTATAGAATTTTTAATACCTATTTAGAAGTACCAGTCGTTCTAGTGACTAAACGTATGTCGCTTCTTGAACACACAAATAAAATTGGGTTAGGAATTTCCTATTTGTACTTAGACATTTGTACATGAAATTTGACGTATTAGCAATCGACGTTGGTTTTTGTTGGTAATTTTCTGTTTCATCTGATTCGTGATTGATAAATAAGGATGAAATTATTCTAAATGGGTATTAAAAATACTATATTTAGGTATTTGTAGAGAACTAGGTATACCGATATGAAGCGTTCAAATCGAAATTATTGGTCAAAACAGGATCGAAATATTTCTCTTAGAATCGAAGCCGTAACGGAACCGATATTTGTCATGACGATGTGAACCGGAACGGAACCGATATTTCATTTCGGTCCGGGTCCCTGGGACCGGGGCCCGATTACGCAAGGATAATACACATTGCTTAATGGCCTCGTTTTTGATAATCGCCGCCATATGAAAATGAAAACGAGGTCTAAAAAAAGAATTGTTTCATAATGTTAATTAATGTAGTAAAACTACTATGCATTAAGCAAAAGCCCGCGGAATCATAACCTATAAAGCCTATGTCCAGGCGAGAAAGGACATGCTGCTACGTCACAAGTGGTGATTTGGCGTGGTGGGGGACTTCCTTCGGACTTCAGATTTGTTCCACACAGGCCTTATGAGTATGTGCTATCCTGTCCCGATTTTTTTATGATTTCAGCTTTTGAGATTGTCTGAATTAGTGGACTACTCGGTTTCTGAACCAGAAGAATAATAATTAAACGTCAACTTTGTTCAAAAAGAATTTTATATTGAAACAAACACACCAACATCTCAGTATCAAAAAGTATTCATGCAATATAATCTCATATAAAGTTAAAACATTTGTAAAATCAACATTTTTGTCTACAAGTGGCACTTAAATTTCTATTTACATCAAAATATTGAACAACGATGATACAGTAATCCTAATGTTTTAATTTCGAACTTAAACATAGACTCGGAGCAAGTGATCTATTTTAGTAAGCTGTAAAATTGTAAAAGGAGGAAGCAGTGTGGTTTGGTTTCTGAAAAAACTTCCAAAATTTACACAAACAAACCTTTTTTCAAAAAGACAATTTACAATATTCACTAAAATAGGTCACTAGCTCTTGCTTTAATCCTATTCAAAGGTTTTTCATGACAGAGCCTTAATATTCCAAAGCCCATTCATTGTCAGCCAAAAAGGCATCCACTACTTCCTTCATTGCAAAATTCGGTATAAGCTGATCTGCTGTTAATTTTACTCTAGTTACCGGGTCAAAGTGACCAACACGCTACAAAATAAAAATTAAATAAAACGAAAAATTTAATAAGACTTAAAATTATTGCCTGTAAATGTTCTTCCAAGTCTTTTTTGTCATAAGTAATACCGCTGGGAGTTATAACAGGCTCTTGTAATATTTCGAAGCTTATTTTGCCGCACAAATAATCTGGAACTTCTCTTTTCTAGAAAAATGTCTGTTTGTAATTTGCTAAATTTGGGTAATTAATTTGTTACCCGTCGTCTGTCGTCAACTTTTTGAAATAGGGCATTCAAATCATTTAAATAGGAATCCTAAAACAAAATATATCTAATCTAATCAAGCAAAACATTTGCTTCTTACAGATTTTTCCTCAATATCTAATATTTTTTCGTTTCTATTACTATTGTCAATTTCTTCTAATTTTAAATTGTTAATTTGTCGCTCTTTGTCCTCCCTTATTAATCTGTTTAGATATGTTTGAAGCTCAATTTCTTGCGAAATTCGTTTTTCTTCTTGTATTGCAAATCTCTTTTTTCTTGCTGTCCTCAATTGGGCGGCAATATCGTCTCCAAAGTTGAGTTTTTGTTCTTTTGCCAAATCTAGAGCTAGAAGAAAAAAAAATCGGTTTGATATCAAAAATCCAAAAAACACAAAGACAAAATTACTATAACAATAAGAACATACAATGTAAGATATATGAAAAATGATGAAAAGATCAATGCACTTGAGGTAGAGCTGGTAAAAATAAAACCTCACCTCTTTGTAGGTGTTTAATAGATTCATCCAAATTGCCAGTTTCCAGTAAAGCTTGTCCCAAAAAGAAATGCCCTTTGACAATATTTGGATCCATATCCAAGGCCCTTCGGCAATCCGTGCAAGCACTGTCCCATTTCAACAGTTTCAGATAGCACAAAGCTCGGTTCGTAAAATAATGCGCAATATCAGGATTTTTTATCTAGAATAAAGAGTGTATAAGGGGCTGCAACACGGATTCTGGCCAGACTTACTATTGCTTTACTGTAACAACTAATTGCGTCTTCGTATTTTCTTAGATTGTACAAACGATTGCCTTGCTCTTTTAGGTCCTTGTCGGAAAGATTCACTGTGGAATACATATGTTTGCTCATTTTCATTACAGGTTATGAGACTTTATGGCGGAAAACGTGATATTTCAGTTTGGTAAGTGAGAAAGCCCCTGAAATTTAAAATGATAAATAATTATTGAATATTTTAATTATTTGTTTTTTTTTTTAATATTTGACTTCTTGAACTTGACACTGTAAAAATCGCAGTGAAGTTGGGTCAAGATTTTTGGGTTCAACATTTTTCAATCATTGGGGATTTTAGTGCAAGTTTTTGAACCCCATCGACACTTTTTGCTCCCAGTGCAATCAGCACCGCCCCTGCTTCCTGCTTCTGAAAGGCGCTCCAGTGCAAATCAGTTTGGCTTTGCACTCCACGGAGCGGAACGGTATCTTATTGTTTCGAGTGCGCTCAGAGTTTACAGAGTATAAACCCAAACTCAGCCTTCATGCATCGTGGTTTTGACATCTTCATTTTTCATAAATACCTTTCATTTTTTATAATTAAACAGCAAAGGAAATCTAAATTACGATATCCTTGAGAAAACTGTGCAACTCCATTGGGGTTGCAGGTTGCACCAGTGCATTTTTTTTTGTTCTGAATGGTAGTAGGTGCGTCACTTTTGTTGCCAAACGAATTCGCTACAAAATGTTTGACTTTGTCTAACATGATGTATTAAAAAGAGATAGTCAGATCATATTGGCTCATTCCTATTTTCTCATTTTTTGTTTTAGTTTTAATTTTTTGTTCAACAATTTTTAACAATTTATCATGTTCAAATATTATTCTTTGTTTGTGGCGTAGAGTTTATGTTTGTAGTTCCCGTCTTTATTTCTGCAAGTCCTTTTTAATTATGTTATATTAATATAAGTACTTTTGATGTTGTTTTGATAATTGTTTCGTTAATGTTCATTTGTTGTGTTTATCTGAAGCCAGAGCTATTTATGGAATCAAGGTAAGTTTGAATTGTTCGGAACATGCGGCTAGATCAATCGTTGAATTTTCCTTGTTCAGCAATAACCTCATCAGTCCTCAGTTTCTGACCTCAGGGTCCTTACTTAATTCTTGAAACAGGTGGACAGCGTTTCCAGAAAAACGAGTGTTCCGTCTTTGTTACTTACATTATCATTTGAATATCATTGAGAAAGACGGAACACTCGTTCTCTTGGGAATGTTGCTCCCCTGTTTTAACAATAAGGTCAATATAGGACCCTGATTGTGCCATAAACAAAAACATCACATTGTTAGATAAAGAAAATAACAAAAACTTTAAAAAATTATCCACCTGTTGAAAAGCCTCTTTTCAGTCAGGTGGTGTCTGCTTCCATGTTTCTCCTGTTCTTATCAATCCAATCTCGAATCCAATCTACTAGTAATTCATTTCATTTGGACATTTCCGTTCTTGAAACAAGATATTAGGTATACCTACTTTTTATTTCTTCATTGCTTTATCCTGGTTTGTGTTGGTGTGATTTTTTTTCTGGATAATTAGTAAAGATAAAATTTTCCTCTTATTATTTATGGTTCAGTAAGTGAGGGACTGTTCCTTTCAGGAAAAAAATGTAAAAGTTTTTTTTCCACTGGTTCTTTTATAAGTTTTTTGGGGTGCTGAATCCAAATCTGATGTTTGTCAACTTGCCAGGCGACAGCTTCCCCGGAAAAACCGCAAGAAACCTTAAATTTTCAGCATTTTTTTGAGGTTTCTTACTGAGGAGTCAACAGTCAACTACTAGTGGCAGTTGGTTTATAAATAAGTGGCAGTACCTCCATTATTGGCAATAACTGGCATTATTTGGTAGTAACAAGTAGTATTTGGCCTCGTATTCGGCAGTAACAAGCAGTGGCGTAGCTATCGTAGGGCAATTCAGTGCTGCACCCCGGGACCCAGGTGATAAGGGTGCCCCGAAGCCACATGCAACATTTTTTACAAAAAATATACTTACTAGCGAAAACTCACAGGGACAAAAAGAAGTTCGAAATAATGTATTAAAGCTAAGACATTCATACGAAGAAATTAAAGGTGAAGCAGTGGAATTAGCAAGAAAGTGGAATATTAATCCAGTGTTTCCAGAAAAAAACGCAAGTCCGACTTAAAAAGCATTTCGATAAACTCGTGACCGACAACAGATTTGAGAGCTCTGAAACCAAATTTAAAGTGACTATTTATTATCGTGTAATCGAGGGGTCAGCCACTTCCTGAAATACGTGTACACTTGGCCCGAAATACCTCCGAAATACTTCGAAATACCTAGAATTACCGTGAAGTACCTCAAAATACCAGGTATTTCCGTCGAAGTACGCGAAATCCCATGGAATTACCGTCGAAGTACCCGAAATACCCTCGAATTACCGCGCGAAGTCCCGCAATATTTCTTAAAAATTGTCGTTTATAACAATTCTACTTGTAGATCCCAGTAAATGTGAAGAATTTTTGCTCGGATTTTTGTGCCTTTTGATATGATGGATTTTATTCGGACACTTAAACAACCATTAAATCAACAGTTGCAGGAATAAGAATAAAATATTAAAATAAAAACAGCTATCGCAATATCAGATATTTTTAATAGAATGCATTAATGCATGTAAAAAGTGTGACTTCTCCAAAAATCATACAAAAAACAGGCTGTTCCATTTAAAAAACTGCTCATCTATGGTGTAACTCTTTGGTTCAAATGATTTTTTGGTACCATTTTTGAGTTCTCCAGAAAAAAATGTTCCAATTGGTTATTTTCAATTTTCTCAAAAGTCAACAATAATCCTCTGGGAACCCGTGTTCAGTCCTCGTTGGATGACCGATGACCTTGTACTATTAGGTCTGTTTCTGCAGTAATCGCAAACCAGTCGGAGTGAATTTCATTTGTTGAAATTAGTTTTCTGACTGTTTTCAACCAATGAAATTCGCTCTGACTGGTTTGTGATTTCTGCAGAAACAGACCTATTAACTAACTGGCATTGATTACTTAGCTATACATATCAGGTAGTTTATCGGCTTTCCATTTGTTTCAATTAATCTGCAATAAATCTAAATTAAAATTATGTCAACATATTTAGCCCCACAATTTTCATTGTATAATATTTCAATTCTAGGTACTTAATAAAGAATTAATTGTTCTCAGTACATAGAAAAAAATACTAATAATTTTAAATAGCTCGAAATACCTCGGCTTATCGCGAAATACACCGAATTACCTCGAACTACTTCAAATTAACTTGAAATACTTCGAATTACCTGCAAATATTTAGAAGTACTCGGCAATACCACAAAAAACTAGGTTCGAATTACCACCACCGAAATACTTTGAATTTCGCGAAATCCTTGCGAAATACCGACATTTTCGCAATACGTGTACACATTTTTACAGAGTGGTTGACCCCTCGCGTGTAATAGACGAAGTAGTTGGTCAACTATTACACAGGTTGGTATGGAATATGTTAAAAAGATTATTTTGACTTTTCACAGCCAAATATTATTCTTACTTCTTCTGAATAGTTCTGAATCGACAATCGTTGAAAAATTTAAAAGATTGTGTATCAAATACTCTGAATTAGTCAGTGATTTTCTAATACCCCAACATGTTCACCTTATTACTTTAGCCAAGGACCATCTAAACAACCCTATGAGCGTCAGGCAATATTTTGAATTAATACTTGAAAAATTTGGATTAGAAAGTGACTTAGCTCAAGTGTTTTTATTATTGCATATGACAGTTGCCACTGTTGCACGCTCCTTTAGCAAATTGAAAATTTTAATAGATTACATTACGAGTGTAGAAAATGACAAATTTCACACGAGTGTATGAAAGACCCTTTCTTACAAGTGATGTAAAGTATAAAAAACAAATCCCGGCATAAGTCGGCTTTTACTTTGTCAAACATGGGCGGCGTAATTTCTAGAGGCACTACTAAAATTAATAATCAATCAAATCAAATATGCTTTATTGTCCAAAATACAGGGTATTCATTGACATGTATGTATAAATGTCACTAGTACTTCTAAAAAATATAAAAAAACAAATACTTAAATCTAGTGTTTATCTTTTTTTTTTCCGTTCTTGATTACATTCCCCGTCAATTTGAAAATTAAAACAATACAGATTAAAAAAAATTAAAATACAAAAATAACTTAAAAGAAAAACATTACAAATTTAGAAAAAACAAATTAGATAAAACAATCACAACTATACAGATGTGGCTCCAACAATAGGTACATCACAGCAGGAAAACCAATACAAACAGCAAAACTTTGAGCACAAGACAAAAATTGTACTTAAATTTAAAACAATTCAAGCTCGAGAGCTGTCTAGATTAAATTCCTCTAGGCTATAGTATGCCTTACCAACAAGGAGGTCCACCACAGTCTTTCGAAATGGTTTATATGGCAAAGATCTACAGGTCACATTAAGATGGTTGTAAATCTTGATTCTCTCGTACATTATAGAGCGCTTAGTTAAGGTAAACTTTGGGATTGGAAGACGAATATTAGAACTCTGCCTGGTATTATAAGCATTCTGTCTATTATCCCAAGTGACACCACCTGAGTACTTCCGGTGTATTAAACAAACCGTTTCTAATTTAAACAAACATATCACAGTTAAAACCTTGAATTTAACAAATAATGGTCTGCAGTGATCCCTGGGATTCGCTCTGCACATATATCTAAGTGCTCTCTTTTGAATAACAAATATAGAGTTCAGAAGTTGCAGACTACAAAAGCCCCAAAACACAATGCCGTATCTTAGACGAGACTCGAGCAAAGAATGGTATACCATCTTCGCCGCTGAAGAACCAAGCTCCACAGATACCACCCTGATCGCGAAGCAACTTGATGCCAATCTCTTGCCAAGCTCAGTAATATGTTTCTCAAACTTCAGCTTCGTATCAATATAAAGACCAAGAAACTTGGCATCCGTTCTGCTTTCTATGGGTTTATCATCCATGGTAAGATCGTTAAGAGCAAAACCAAACGTCAAAATATTAGTTTTACTTATATTGAAACACAAAAAATTTGAGTCACACCAAGTCTTCATTTTTTTTAAGTCACTATCAACAGCATTTCTCAAATGTTCCTGATCTTTCGAGTGCCATAAAAGGGTGGTATCGTCCGCAAAAAGGGTAAATTTGCCCTCAATATCTAAATTTGTAACATCATATATGTAGAGCAAAAACAATAACGGGCCTAGAACCGAACCTTGAGGCACTCCAAAGTCCACACCAGATAAAGCAGAACAGCCTACGTCAGTCTTCACAAACTGCGACCTTTCTGAAAGATATGACTCAAACCAACGATGTTCTGCATTGCGGATGCCATAGTGATGAAACTTTTGCAGCAGGATTCGATGATTAACACAGTCAAAAGCTTTAGAGAAATCGCAAAACACCGCAGCAAGAGCCTCGCCTTCATTCAGACTAAGATATATATTCTCGAGCAGTGAGAATATGGCATCGCTGGTGTTTTTGGATGCTTGAAAACCAAACTGGCTGGGTGTTATAAGGTTTTTAGTCATGAGGAAGTGCAGTAATCTTGATTTTACAAGCTTCTCGATAACCTTGGAGATGGTGGTTAGGAGAGAAATAGGCCGATAGTTGGAGGGATCATCAGAATCACCCCCCTTATGTAAAGGAATTACAAGTGCTTTTTTCAGGCACAGAGGAAATACTCCTGTTCGGAAAGAATTGTTGATGGCATCAACAAGAGCAGAAAGTGCCTCTCAAGGCAAGCATTCCAATATCCTGACGGACACACCATCAAACCCAGCTGAATGCTTGTTCTTTATTTGGCCAAGGACATTGTGCAGCTGATCAATGTCAATACAAGTCAGACAGAAATCCTCGTGAACCCACACATCGTGGAGATAATCAAGAGGATCCACCCGATTAAATAGGTTAGATGTTAACTTATGTGCTATAGAGCAGAAAAATTGGTTCAACGTATCCGGCTCAATAGGTACCGTGAAA